CAAATTTGCAAAAACACATTTTCCATGACTAAAAATGCTAACTTACAACTTATAAAGTACAAAGTACTTCACAGATCACATTTAACTGGGCAGAAATTATTTAAAATGGGTTTCACGTCAGAAATATGTTCACATTGCACACAAAACACTCCAGACACATATCTTCATGCCTTATGGCATTGCACCTCAATTAAATCATTTTGGGTAAAGGTTACTGACTCACTCTCCAACTTAATGGGTTGTCACATCCCACTGTGTCCCTCCCTCTGCATATTAGGTGACATATCCACAATCAATATAAATAATACAAATGGTCAGTTTCTGCTGGTGGCTCTAACTATCGCAAAGAAAACTATCCTCATGAACTGGAAATCAAGAAATACCATTCACATCTCATACTGGAAAAACTTGTTAACAGAATACATCTCCATTGAAGATCCTCTTTGCCTGAAGCCATTCCCTAACAACACCTTCATCAGTACATAAACAAGAGGGGAGGGGAGAGAGGGGGTCAGGTAGAGATGAGGAAAAAAAAAAAAAAATCTAATATTTAATCTAATTTAAAATAAATAAATCAATTGGAAAAAAAGTATAATGTAAACAAATAAAATAAAAGAATCATAATTCGGTCTTTATATACTTTTTTACTTTCCCTTTTGTTCTATTTGTTCCCCTTTCCTGTCCCTATCAATGTTATTTATTCATTTTATTATTATTATATATAATATTTGTTTTCTATTTATTATTATTATTATTATTATTATTATTACTATACATAAATTATTATTATTATTATTATTATTATTTATATGCCAGTGCCTCTCCTGACCAACAACAGATAAAAAAAGGGAAAGGAAAAAAAAAAAAAAAAAAAAAAGGAAAGAAAAAAAATCTACTTACATGTACTAAATTCACAGGGTAAAGTGTAACGTAGGCATGGCAGTCTGGGCACTGCACTGGACTGATCCATGCCACACGTTACACTTTTTTTAATGCATCACAAAGCAACTGACAAACACTATATACCTCAATGCCCATCACACAACTACAACCTCCTCAATTTATTGTTACAGCCGTTGTTATTTTTATTATTATCATTATTATTAGTATTATTACCAGCATGAGTATATTATAGTTATCAAATTACAGTAATAATCTATCATACATATCTTTAATATTATTCTTCCATGTAAAAATTGTATAATTCATAATTAGCATTGATATAGTGTTTTCTTTTTTATTTATTCAGTTTTTATTATTATTATTATTATTATTCTTTTTTTTTTTTTTTTTTTTTTTTTTTTTTTTGGCTGATTCTTGTTGCTTTGTTTGCTGAACTTTATTTTTCTTCTCTCTTATTGTTTCTTTTTTCTTCTACTCCTCCCCTTCCTTTTCTGTTTTTATTTTTTATTTTATTTATTTATTTTTATTATAAGTATTTTATTAATTTTTGTTTATTATCATTAGTTTATTTTCTCTTTTCCTCTATCTCCCCTTCAAACTTACTACTTACTACTATTATTATTTGTTATTATTATTATTATTATTATTTATTATTATTATTACTTGTCCTCTCCCTGATTTTCCCATCCTCCCCTCTCCTCGACACCTTTGTCATAAATGGTATTACTTTTATTTTTTGAAATCATTATTATTATTATTATTACTGTTCTGACTTGTCCTGTTATCTTTCCATTATCATTATTACAAGTATTTATACCATTATCATTATTAAGGTTGCAGTTGTTGTAGTAGTAGTAGTAGTAGTAGTTGTAGTTGAAGTAGTAGACAGTGTAATAGTATCGATTGTTATTGAGTAATTGTTACGGAGATTTTTGAAGTAGTAGTTCATGTAAGTAGTAGCAGAAGTAGTAATGGTGTGGTTGTTACAGTAGTAGTAGTAGTCGTTGTTGGTGTAGTAATATCAGTAGTAGATGTTGTTGATGTAGATGTAGTAGAAGTGATTATAGTAGTAGTAGTAGTAGTAGTAGTAGTAGCAGTAGACGTTGTATTAGTTGTAGCAAACGCTATAGTAGTATCAGTAGTGGTAGTCGTTGTAGTAGTATCAGTATTAGTAGACATTGTAGTAGTAGTAGTAGTAGTCGTGGTTGTGGCTGTAGTAGAAGCAGTAGTAGTTGTAATATAAGTAACTTTTTGTAGTAGTAGTTTGTGTAGCACTTGTGATTTATTATTATTGTTGTCAGTTATTACTGTTGTCCTTTCTTTCTTTTTACTCTAATTTTTACTATCATACATTAATAAGCATTGTTGTTACTCCCTACCTCTGACTGGTTTCTTTCTATATGTTTTATCTATATCTGTGACACTTGCTTCATTTATTGACTGTTATTGTTCCTTATGTATGTACTCTGACCTGTCCACCAAGTTACCTTTACATGCATACACACACTCACACACACACACACTCACGCACATACCAGTACATGACTATATTGTTGTTGTTTTTGTTTTGTTTTTGTTTCGTTGCTTTGTATTTGTTATTTGTTGACGTTTTCTTGTATTTGTATGATTTTTGCATATTCTAATAAAAAAAAAAAAAAAAAAAAAAAAAAAAAAAATAATCGTATTATAAATAGCACGTCTTTAAAACAGGTGTAAACAGGGTCTATGTTTAATGTAAAACCAATTTGAGTTAGAGCACATGTTGACTATAGAAGCATTTACACTTGGAAAATAAGCAGCCAATAGTTTAAGACCGCGTTTAATTTGTCGTCACGAATTGTCAATAATGATTCTTAAAACCAGGTTTAAACAGCCTGATCTGATGAGGAAACAAAACTATTTTACGTTTTGTCAGTTTAGTGGCTAATTCATAAGAGTTCGTAAGAATGTACAATTTTAAAAAGGTGGCGTGGCACCCAACCTCACCCCATCAACCATTATTGGGGGATGAGCAAATCATACTAAATTCTACGAATGAGATTGTACAAATTTATACGAATTAGCCACTACATCAAAAAGTTACAAATTGCAGTGAGATTGTGTCGCGCACCTCTCAATACTTGTAACTACACATTGCAATGACTCAGATCTGTTATTGGTTGGCTTGAGTGTGGGCAGGACCAAGAGTTTTGGGAGCAGATGAAGGCCTTTGGCACATTTGCTTAACTAAGTCGGTTCCCATGGGGGGAGGGGAACTTCCGATCAAAACTTATTTCCGTATTTGCTTTATGATTAAAGTTATTGTACGTTTGTTGGCTTCCGCCTTTATTTCTCAAAAGAGTGTGAGTTTATGCTTATTCACAGTAAAAGTTACTGCACACTGAATCCGAAAGTTTCGTCCGTATTTTTCCACGTTAAAATATAAATTCGACCTCATGCTGTGTGAATCGCATTGACACTGCCTCCGAAACATTCGTCCGTCAAGAATAAAATTTTAATTTCATATATATACAAATAATTCCTAAATCTACATCTATTTAAAAAAATTTTCAAAAACATTTTATATATGAATATGATCACAAATAACTTATATTTATGAGGTCCAAGGAACATTTCCAGGTTTTTATGAATAAGCTACTATATGTTAATACTGTACATTTAAGTACAGCAGTTTTCTTTTTACCTTTTTAGAACATGTCTAATTTACTTTTAGAAGCACATTTTAATTTAAACATTATTTATTTTTTACCTGTAAGCACAGAGCTGTGTTAATGTTCAAGCCATTTATTATGTTTAAAATTGCTGACAATAATAAATATTCATAATAATAGAAATTAATCTGCCTCCTTTTTTAACAGTGCAGAGCTTTAGCTGCCTAATTAGGCCTTCTACGCTACTGTATTTCAATACTGGTCATTATGGTGGTACTTGGAGAGACAATTTTTTCTAAGGTGGTACTTGGTGAAAAAAGTATGAGAACCACTGCTATAGATCATTTTGAGGGATGTAAACAAAGTAAGTCCCAATGTATTTCCTGTTTTACATATTTTTTTTTTCGATAGCTTCTGAGAATACAAAAAAAGCCACATATTGATAAATAATGTTATGATTTCTGATTTAACATTAAGTTATGATTGAATTACCTCTTACAGTTATGAAGTAGTTTGATAACAAGCAGGAAATGTTCATGGGCCAATAACATGACCACATTGAAATGGTCTATAGGAGCATCCTCAACTGAACACTTCAGAAAAGCGGAGCCACATAGACGATGAATCTCTGTGACATAAAAAAGTCTCTTCATTTGCTTTGTTGGCTCATCTCCTGGCTCCCTCCATAAAACGCAGTCAATATTTGGCCTTGCTTAGCTCTCTCAGAGGACTAGTCTAGTTTGGCTCCATTATGGGCCAAACGGTCCCTGTCTTCCAAAGGGATTTTTATTGGTTGCAATTACATGAGGAAGGTGGTATAGTTTTACATGTACTGTTTTGAAGATTTACTGGCGTGTGTTCAAGAATGTGATTGTTTTTTAAATTAATTTTGTGCGCGCGTCATGCTGGTATTGATTTTTAGTGACAAATCTGCATGCCGAGGTACCGGTTGGTGAAACTGTAAGCACATTTAGTTATTTACTTCTTTATTTTCCAGAGCACAGTCAGTATCGTGTTGGCTAAATGATTAAATATGTTTAAAAAATGGCACCTGGGACTGTATGACATATGGCACACAGTAAGACCATTTTGTGACTAGACAGAGTTTTTTATGTAATTATGTAACCAAAGCTTTATAACATTCTCACTTTATCACATCTGCTGTACCTCTCTAAAATTCCAGTGCTTATTTTTATTCCATTTGCGCATTTTATATTCAGCGTGAAAGTGATGATAATGATGCTGAAGCTGTCAAAGTTTGTGAGTTTGTACTTTAACACACCAGAGTTGCGGTTGAAACTTTGGCTTATGTGTGTGAATAATCAGTAAAAAAAGAATATTATAGCACTTTGTAATAAGCACATATTATGTAGGCCTTGCAACACTGCAATTTTACACAATCAGGGTGATGATCTGAATTAAATATCTGTAAACATGTCTTCACAGATGCCAGAGCGGACCGTTCAGAGAGAAGGAAGCTCTTTCGACACTACACTGTGGGATCTTATGACAGTTTTGATGCATCAAGGTACGATCAAACTTTTTTCTAATTTTAGTATGTGGTGTTTGTAATATAGGCTCATTCTGAAAACGTAGCCCTATATACATTCCTGGAGATCACAAATTATGTAGCCAGAGCTACGTATGGCTGCATTTTGTCTTTAAAACAAACACTACCGGGTGGTATGACGCCGAACCGTTTCACGCTAGCAGCTGACCGCTTACTTGCGTATGGGTGGCTTTCCTGCTGTTACCAGTTTGTCTGTTAGCTCGACATGTGCGTCGTCGGACTTGAGACACAGAGCGTGAGTTGACCGTGATGATGGGGTTTGGTTTATTGGTCGGTTGGTCAGTCAGTCGACAGTGGCCTCCGGTGGATTTATATGAGAAAAGCATGCATAAATGCATGCACTTGCGAGAGAAATTTGAGATCTCAAAAAGCAAACATAGCGGCCTCTGGTAGAATCGCGAAAAACAAAAACTGCAAAAAATTATACCTCCTGAGACAAATTTGGTGGTCTCTAGAAATGTATATAGGGCTACGTTTTCAGAATGAGCCTGGGTTTGAGAGTTTTTGTTCATTTTCTGTACTGTATATACAATTTTTTGATATTTTGCTTTAGCGAAAACTAATTTAATCATCAGGCCAACTTGGAATCCTCAATTCACTTCAATAAAAATGTCAGCTATTTGTTTATTAAATAATTAGAAAATATGTTCCCTATTTAAATATGTCACACAACAATAAAATTGTGTGAAAAACATGTGACTACATTTCTGTAAAAAAAAAGTACTTTTTACATACATTTCATATACAATATTTACTTACATATACAATGCATATATTTTACTGCATATTTTAGGTGAATTTAAACTAGAGACAGTACAAAAAACATAATTTGTACTTTTGGACACAAATTGCTAGATTATCTATGAATAAAGGCCCTTTTTGGCAATAATACTGCTGTATCGTAAGACCTCAAACTTACTATAATGTAATTTCAGTTGGACCTCAAACTTGTCTCAAATTAATCATAATGTATGATTTGTAAACAAATTTGTTTACATAACATAGCTAGTAGTTTTCTGGGTCGTTTACCTGGTACAGTATTGCACTAGAGCTCAGTTATGAGTTGTAGTTTGGGTCAAATGTTTTTCTTTTTTCTATTTTCCTTCACTTTCGTCAACTGGTGAAGCTTGTTCCTTTACGCTCTCACCACTGGCTTGCTTAGTTTGGGACTTGTCATCAATGGATTTGCTCTTCAGTGTTTGGACTTTCAGCACTGAAATTTAAACTACACTGAACTAAACTAAACTTAAACCCTAAACTACTAAAGCAGTTTTCAATTTATTAGAACTTCTATGCTAAGCAGCCTTGACACTAAAAGTGCTAAAAAAAGTGTAAAAGTGCTATAGAAATTAAGATGAATTGACTTAAATTTAATGTAAAAGCAAGGTAAAACAGAACAGTTGCTTGGGCAAATAGATTTTTATCTCTTGTTTGCTTTTCCTAGCGCTGTCAGTTTGTTTTAGGTTAACAGTAATGCAGAAATGTAGGCACATATTTACAATTAATCTTTTGAAACAAATTTGTTGCAAAAAAATGTGTTTCTGAACCAATCACACGTTCCATCTGGGCCTAATGATGACCTACTTTTTCTTAGATTTGATAATACGGTTTATAGATTTACTGAATTATAAAAAAAACTGGTCAGTTTAGTGACAGAATCTTAAAAATGTACTTGTTAAGAGACATCATTTGCTGGATTAATGGAAAACATTATTAATTAATTATTCATGTGATGCTTCATTCTGGATAATTAATAATTATGATTTGTCATCGTATCAAAGTGCAGCGTGATTCATCCGTTTACCTGCGCATTCCATTCACACCAACTACCAATTCCCGAAACTTTGCCGCTTCGCTGTCATTTAACACAAAGCAACACACAAACACATTGTTTTTCACAGGGGAGAAAAGGTTTGAAGAGTGTGAAAACTCTTTAAATGGCCGGTTATGTAAGCAACACTCAAGCGTGATGCAGACTCTTTGGTGGCATTTAAAAAAATAAAGCAGCCAGTTATAAATTGTGCTGTTAATTAAAAAGATTAATATATTAATACAATGTAATGTGATTTACATTTAAAGGTCTCATGAAGTGCATTTTTTATTAGATGCTTGACGTAATCTCTACCGAAATATGAAGACAGGGCAGGACAGGGCAGGGTAGCTCCTCCATTAGCGTTTTTATCACAGCTCTGCCAGTGTTAGTGGTTGCGCTCATGTGCATCAAATGAAAAGCTAATGTGAAGCATCTTGAATGGGGGGGACATGTCAGATACTACAGAGTAGGGGTGTAACGATACACTCAGCTCACAATACAATGTATATCACGATATAATGTTCACGATTCGATATGTATCACGATATTTGGAATAAAAGATGAAAATTAAACTAAAATGCAAATTTTATTTTTAAAAAATTTAATTACCAAGTAAACTATTTTGTATGTATTTCTTTTGTTTTAACTTATTAAACTGAACCTTCTTTAAGAAAGTAAATTAAACAGGCGGTCTCTGGAAAATAAAACAATTAAAAAACTTTTTATAAAATATTATTGAAATGATTCAATTCAATTGAATTTAACAGTAAGAGCTTAAGGCTTTGCTTGGTCACTTGCGTTTTTTGTGTGTGCAAAAAAAAAAAAAATCTACATTTCCAGGTAATCAGCAGTTCTATAAGATAATCCTGAACTTATGTGTATCTGTCTGAGAGGTTTTTATGGATGGCTGTCTTCATGTTGGGCATGATGAGTGACAGGGTGGTCGTCTTTTCATTACACAGGACAGTCGTGGCTCTTTTCAGCAGTTTAGGCAGGTTTACTTTTTCTTCGGCGTCGCTGATGTCGGCGCTATCAAGTGTATCATGTTGACGTGCATTTTTGTGTACCTCTGTACTCAAAAGAGTTAATGCTCGTCGTAATCATAACTCTAAAACGCGATATGATTATTTAAATAATGTGCACGCTTTCGGTTTCATTTCCACTTCTAAGTGCTGTTCATACTTCCCACACGGCTCCTGAACGATCACTCTGTTCCACAAACTGAATGTTGTTTACTACTTTATTACCTGTTAGTCACAACCTGCAGGTTCTGTTCACTGAAGCAGACGTGCGCGTGTCATAGTCTGCCCTCTGTGATAACAGCTCACGGTCAGCTCACGTCATGTGTGATTTTGTGGCCACCAATACATCATTATATGAAGACAGAATGATATTTTAGGGTGAATTGTAGCTTATAAATACAGTATGTGACTCTTTTAACACCATTAGGAGGTATCCATGTCGCTGTGCAAAGTCTGTAAATCACTGTGAAGACTTTAAAACTTAGGCTATGTTTGAACCAGTATGCGTGTCAAAAAGCGGACGAGTCTAAAGCAATGACTGTACAACCGAAATGTTGCCAGACGTCTGATTTTGAGAGGATAGGCCATCCTCTATTTCAGCTCCACTCATCTTGGTCTGCTAACATTACTGCTGCTGCAATCTGAACTCACGTGCGACAGCTGGTGGAACCTAGCTCACGTGCAAACAGCTCAACTAATAAGAGAAAACGGACGTCATATCGTAATAAAATCGTCATAACGCCACGAGGCATATTATTTTGCATCGCAATAAATCATACAACGATAAATCGTTACACCCCTACTACAGAGTATTTGATTATTCAGAAGATTTGACAAGAAAGTGAAGTATGAGGTGATGTTTAAAAAAGTGTTGATCTATTTATGCAGAAGTGAGAACTGCATTGTTTCGAATGTTTAAATCTTCTATAGGGATGCACCAATATGGGTTTTTTGGCCGATATCGATAACCGATAACTCTTATGAGGCAGATAACCGATAAACTATAGCCGATAAATATAAACATTCCAAATTGTTATATTTTCATACAGTGACATAACAAAATCAAACTGAATACAATCTAACATCAACAACACATGGCAAGCAACGCGTTGATGATAACAAATAATCATTAGATTACTAACAACCCAATGAGTTGTTTAGCGGGGCGCATTTTAGCTATTATGTTTACACATTTAACATTTTCCTGAGGCGATTTAAACCAAAATGCACAATGACACTCTATCAAACAAATCTACAAAAATAAGGAACATGGTTACTTACTGAGTTATTAACACAGAAATACCACATAAAGAGAAAGGACGAACTTTAAAGAAATAAACAATGTGAGAAAAGCTCCGTTAAAGTGCACAGGACAAGTCTGAACAAGTTTCACCCAGGCACTTGTGAGGCAGACAGTTCTATACAATTACATAATCTACACTGTACTATGAACTTGAGCACAGCACGCTAAAAAGACCTGAAAAAAAAAAAAAAACAGATCCCCCTGCATCCGGCTGCCATACTCCTACCAGCTGACACACCCCTCACTCAGAGACGGTTGCCATGGAGACAGAGAGCCCATGGCAATGCAGTGCAAGCTACTTCCTGCTGCAGGAGCTTGAGTGACAGCCGTACAGAGAGAGACACATTGCTGAACTTGTCACAGATATGCATGAACAGTACATGCTGCTATGTCAGTCTTTATCAGAAACACTGATTTTATGCTCTAGATACGAATATGATGATGACTAGGCCCACATGAAATCTGCATGCTCAGAATTCCACAGATTTCTGCAGATTTTTAGCCCATCATTGATTCTTTTTATTTACTTGTGTAAATGTGTGTAAATTTATATTTATTTAGTTTTTTAATTAATTTCAGTATAATTTTTTACTAATATCAAAATATTTATATAATTTATTCATATAATGTTCATATAATTTATTTACAATACAGCTTTTAGTAGACATATTATATAGAAGACTTGCTTTGTTTACCAAATAAAGTCTAATTGGATTTGCTTTGTAAACATTAAATACAAGTTAAAATGGTATTACTTTTTAGTTCTTATGTTAAGGTTTTAGTTGTGATACTCCCAAAATCATTCTGCATAAATCTGCAG